TTTACAAAATCTAGATCATGCTTGTATTGTAAAATGGTAAAGTGATAAGAATATTAGTTCAATATTATTTTTCTTCATCATCTTAAGGGAAGCACAGGATACAGTGGACAGCTAGGATGAAGCTGGATGATCTAGACTTTGCAGATGATCTTGCTCTTTTATCGCAAACGTAACAACAAATGCAGGAGAAGACGACCAGTGTAGCAGCAGCCTCAGCAGCAATAGGTCTCAATATACACAAAAGGAAAAGTAAGATTCTCCGATTCAACTCAACATGCACCAATCCAGTCACAATTGACAGAGAAATTTGGAAGATGTACAAAACTTCACATTTTTGGGTAGCATCATCGATGAACACAGTGGATCTGATGCAGATGTGAAGGCATGGATCGTCAAAGCAAGAACAGCATATTTACAACTGAAGAACATCTGGAACTCAAAACAATTGGAAACCAACAACAAAGTCAGAATTTTCAATACAAATGTGAAGACAGTTCTACTGTATGGGACAGAAACCTGGAAAACCACGAAAGCCATTATCCAGAAAATACAGATGTTTATTAACAGTTATCTACACAAAATACTTCGGATCCGTTGCCCGGACACTATTAGCAACAACCTACTGTGGGAGAGAACAAACCAGATTCCAGCGGAGGAAGAAATCAGGAAGAAGCGCTGGAAGTGGATAGGACACACATTGAAGAAATCACCGAACTGCGTCACAAGGCAAGCCCTCACATGGAACTCTCAAGGCCAAAGGAAAAGAGGAAGATCAAAGAGATAGATATGAGAAAAATAAACAAGAAATGGATGGAACTAGAAAAGAATGCCCAGGATAGAGTGGGTTGGAGAATGCTGGTCGGTGGCCTATGCTCCATTGTCAATAACAGGCGTAAGTAAGTATTATTTTTCCTACAGTCATAAATTGTTACCAATTTTGAAATGAAATTTCGAGTTTTAAAGATATAGTTCGCAATATTATGTAATATAGAAAGACAGGTTGACAGAATATGGATTCTTGTTTGTTATTCAGATATGGAATTAGTCAATTTATTTATGCTATTTAAACCATGTTTGGCAGTAGGCTGTACAAATCACTATTGTAAATGAATATGTGATTTATATGAAAAATTATAGTTACCTTAACATTGAATTCTCAGAGTTTCCTGAAGTAAAGGCTCTAACATATACTTATATAGTAAGAAATAATTTTGAGCTTAATTCGTCTGTATAGTTAATATGTTCAGAGAGGGAGTTTTTAGATATTTTAGTAATTTAACAGTTGGATTCATGAATCAATTGAAGCTAGATAACCATCAAAAGCTTGGAAGCACTAAACGGCCGTTTTGGTTTAGTATGGGACTCCTCAGCAGTGCACATCCAGGATCCAGACCGTGGGATAGGTCCTGGGTTTGGATCCCTCGATCTATTCTTCTTTCTTATGAAACATTAAATATGACATGACCAACAAATTTGTAAATAATCCATCAAGTTATTTTGTTTCGTCTGATGTTTATAAATAACTCTTCTTATTTCATTCATTAATTATTATATCTACAAATGTTTCCAATGTTTATTAGATAAGTCGAAATAGTACTAATCATAATATAACCATTTGTTTGACAGAAATTGTCTACAATCTGTTACTTAGAATTCGTTATCAAACGTAAAATATAGTGCTAAACTGGTGTTAATTTCAAAAATCTAGTGTTAGGAAATGGTAAAATATTACTGTATAGGTGAAAATATCAGGGTATTTATAGAATTCACTGACTTAAAGGTTAGTTAAGTAAACCCGGAGAAACTATTTTGATATGTATCCTGGATGTTCTGGGTTGGATCCTTCATGGAAATGATTCATGGGCGTTGATGAAGAGTCCTGTACAAGGATAAAACATTTATTCAATGCTTTCTGGTTTCCAATATTTGTTTGTATAAAGTCAGTTAGTAATGTTTACCATACAAAAAGAGATAAGATTAATTCTTTATACGTCTCTAAACTATTTAACAATTCAACTTGGTTTGAAATAATACTATCTCAATGAAATTGAGATTATTTGTTATTTTTAAGGCAATGATTTGGATGCCTTAACCCTAATTCTCTCATTTCTTACTTAGTTTTTCCATTTTTAAGAACATTACGAATTGTCATAATTTTAGTTGAACATATATGCCATTATAAGTAGTAAATGTAAGATTGTGATAAAGACGTTTTCCTCCTTATTTAATTGACTCATGATCTCAACTATAAAAAATTACTATAATATTCACATAATCTCTTCTGATATTGAAAATAATAGGTAGAGGTAGAATGGATTGGATTGTGCTAACCTAATATACCAATTTAAATTGTCCCAATCTGTTGCGTAATTAAAAAGCCATTTGATAATTTCAATGCACACAGTATGACGTACTGCATAGCACAGCAAGGTAATTTCAAACTAAAGTAGTTATTTACACGAGAAACAGTTCATAGAAAGAAATTTTAGGTTATTCATTACCATGTTACTTCATACTGATAATTAGGTTATATGGAAAATAGAGAAATTAGATAAAGTGAACAAAACTTGTTTAGATATAGATTTACCATGTTAATTATAGGTAAAATGGTTCACTTTACTATCGATACTGTTCAGGTATATCCCTTAGTTAATATCTTAAAGTAACATGTAATATTTTAGTAATCGGAATACACCCATTAAGACTGCTCATATCGGTCAATGTGTCATTGTTGTGACACAGCAATGTATAACTCGTGTTCTGATTAGTGAATAAGTCATATGATATTCAGCAGGCAACAAGACATAACAGTAATTATTTTACTACCAGTATAGGGGTTTTGGAGATTATTAAGTTTTTGATTGAGATCATGAACCGATTGATGTTAGACCACCGTTGGAAACCTGGAAATACTGAACGGCCGATTCATCCTATTGTGGGACTTCTCAGCAGTGCGCATACACGACCCTGCCCCGCGAAATTCTAACCCAGGACTTACTGGTTTCGCGTGCTAGCACTTAACCACTAGACCACTGAGCTGGCATCCAATGGTGTTAATGTCTGACTTCAACTAATTCACGAAACTGAGCCACACGCCCACCATTGTCTTCAGTGAGTTACTATCTTACAACATACCCGGTTGAACTCCACTGGTCAGCGCTTCTCTTCAGAACTCCAGGAAATACCTCTTGAAACCATTCACTAGTGAGCATATGTTGATTAATATTAGAAGGGATTCTATGGAATTTATCATGAATGATCTATTTCATGATATGAATGTTACAGAAGAAACAGGAGCTACCCCTAGTATACACTTTATGAATATAGTTATATATATTTATATAGAAATTAACGAGGTAGTAGAATCATTTAAGTAACCTAGTGGTCAAGAAAATGTTTCAGTAGTTCAAAAGAATATCAAATTAATTAGTAAAGCCTTATGTAACCTTATATCAGAAATCTTGAAACAATCAATATTTCAACCAGCTTTTATTGATATACTTGAATAGTATTATGTACAAATTCATAGGTTACGAAGCTTCATAATTAAATAGTTAGTTATAATGAAGAAACTTCCCCTTTAAACTCTGTCTCACTATATATTAGATATGTTTAAATTTTACGGGGACTTTTGTGGCTGACAAACGATGGTTTCTTTTAGAATATTTGCCCGACAAAACTGCAAGATACTAATCAATCCTAAAAGCCATATGTTTACTTTTATTCAGAAATGTAGCTTTATAAATCACTGATAATCTCTATGATTATAAAGATAAATCTCCTTTAACATCCTTTACTTGATTAGTCTCCCTATTATGATTGAAGTCTATATATTCTTAACATTCTTCTATCAATGAGTACATTTAAACATATTGCAGCCTTATTGTTAGTTTGGTCAATGTATTTCAATCTGAATAAAAGAATCGTAAGTTTCATATACAATGACATTTCGTAATCTTACTTAATTCAAACAATTTTTGTTATTACAATTATAATGAAATCATACATACATACATTGATGAAACTATCAAACTGCATCACGAAGCAAGTGCTAACTTGGAATACTGAAGGAAGACGAAAAAGAGGAAGGCGGATAAACATGAAAAGTATGATTATCAGTTAGAAAGAACTGGAAAAGATTGCTCAAGACAGGTTTGGATGAAGAATGCTGATGGACGGCCTATGCTACTCCTTGATGAGATAACTAAGGTTATTCTATTTAACTTAATTACTTAGAAGAATGCATGATAAATCAAATAATTCTAGCTATAAACATTTATTGTACAATAAGTTATCCAGAATAATATATCCATTTAAAAACATTAAGAAATAACAATAACTGACATACTGTCTAGAAAGCTTTCTCATTCAAACACTTATCATAGAATAGATTATTATATCTCAATTCTATCTTTCAAAATACTCTTATTACTTAAATGACTAATTCACATAGCTACAATGGTTGACTATTCAAGTATTGTCAACATAGACTCAATCAGTCAGTTAGTCACAACGTAGGACCAGGCATATATATGCATCGGTCCAAGTTGCCATACCTCATTAGCATAACAAGATTAACGCCGGATTCATAGAATTGGTTAATTCAGCGGTAGTTATATATAAAAGAAAGATTGCATATAAGAACATAGTACAGGATGAAAGAATTCGTTCGTAGAATGAAAGATATGAAACAATTTTAATCTCTTAGTTTAAGGGAAGACTGAATGTGCATATACCTACTCCATTATGGTCGATTCTAACCCATGTCACCCAGAGTTTCCAACCATTGATTACAGTAGCTACGCGGACCTCAAACAAGTAGTTTGCATCTATCAACATGACTCAGACTAGACTAATAAATCATAACAAATATTTAGAAAGAAAGATATTCTCACTGAATTCACTTCTCACAAATTATTCAACTCAGAACAAAATATATATTATACAAAAAACAGGAAAAAATATTACATAATACATGGGTACAAAACAAAATAACTTACTCATCTCCATGGTAACCAAGTATTATGTAAATATTAAATTCTATCGTTAGATATATATTATGAATCAATGATATAGATTGTTTAATACTCTAAAATATTAATCTCACATCAGTAATTCTTTTCATTTGTTTTATTTTTGTGAATGGTTTTCTTTTTGTTTTTTTTTTATTTTCTGGAGGGAGGATCTTTTAGGATAAAAGTTACTTTTCTTTTCATGTACATATTATAATCATCATTTGAACAACAACAACAACCATAGCAACAGCAACAAAATACTTTTTTTCCAACTAATCTGACAATTTGAAACCAAATGTTAATTGAAATGAAATGAAATGAGAAAAAAAACAAAACAAAACAAAACGCAACAAAAACAGAAGCTTTTTAAAATATTCAAATGGATTGTGTACAGTAATCTTGACTATCAGTAATATATTTTCTCTTTTGTTTAAACAACGATTTAGCACACTAATATTTGATTGGTTTAAATATTGCTGTGCAATTTCCCATGATTACAAACAAAAAAAAGAAATCAGTATAACATTCGTTACTATTGGTTACTAACGGATACACTAGTCAAATGAAGTTTGAAAAAAAAAACAAAAAAAAACTGGTTCAGTTTTTAATTAAAGCCAATATATTCATATGTGAATGATTATTAAAATAATATAAAGTTGTACAGTCATCAATTTGCAAAATAGCCTACATTGTATTAGATGTTGTATCTTTGAATTTAAACAAAAAAAACATAATAAATTTGTGATTTAACATAAGTATCCAGTTTGTATTACCACAAATTTTCAGGTTTGTTTGATTTTACAGGTTCCTGGGTGCTGCTTATATCGATATAAGTAGTATATAACGCTAGTCAAGAATGTCTGATATCAGAAGGTCAAGAAGATCAAAGAAAAGAGAACGAAAACAAAGAATGATTGATGTGGAAACCAAAGAACAATAAAGTTTGAGATGATTGATTGACATTTTACAAGTTAAGTATTTATTGTATGGTTCACAGATTTTACTAAGATGTTCTGTACATGTGTGTTCCAATACACTCGACTGTCTTCACTTGTGTTCTTCTTGACTACAGTTCCAATTCCTCATTGGAAAGCAGGAAAAATTATCTTAAATTTAGTTATTACTCACCGCATGATTATGATTAGTATATTTTCCCGACACATCATATTATTAAATTAAATAAGTCCCCATTAATCTCTAAATTGATTTCATGATCCTTTAAGAACAAATAGAGCTTAAGATATCATTCTAACTGAGTTCATAATTAAAACGTCTTAGATACTAATGAAGATTAGATAAACTCATTCTTTGTTAGTAATGATCATATATACACTTAGTCGTTTTAAATGAAATATGGAGTTAAGTGGAAACTCTGCGATTGTATTGAAGGTGAAAACCGATATGAGTCGTTTGTTGTAATACTTATTAAGTCAGGCTAATACTTTCATATTTTCAAATAAGATTGTGGATTAAACCTATGCATGATGTCTAATTCTTCAAGTTTGATAAAGGTTTTCATGATCTTTCCAATCGAGAATGGGTGAAAATCATGTTGAATGATACCTATTCATAAAACACTATTAAGGTGGTTGAGAAAAGCGACAAGTATTGTAGTGAGTGGGAACACTCAGATTTCATTATTCTATTGTTTCCATATCAATCATTCTTTGTTCTCGTCCTTTTTTCCTTGATCTTCTTAACCTTCTACCTCTAGGTATTTCACTTTCGATTGATGAGACATACTACTTATATCTACTGACATCGGTAGCACACACTGCAGTATCATACCAATTAGTTCATTATCTACGTATGCGAACATTTAGTAGATCGTAAAAACACCAACGTAACTGAAAAAGCCATTAGAATTACCAATAACTTATTAATTTGTTAAGCAAAGATACAGTACTCATTACTACTTACTTTAATAGTAAAAATATTTGAAAATTGTATTCCTATGACGTGTGTAAGTGATCTCCTGAACTGATATGAATCATATGCTCAATTATTAACCACTTACAAAACCCGAATTATTAACATTATTCGGATATTAAAAGACAAGATCACTGGTCATTAAAAATCTGTAAAATTACACAGTTATGCACATAAGCTTTAGCACAAAAACAAAAAAACATAAAGTTTCACAATTGATTGATCACTGGGTGGTCATCAATGTCATGTGTGTCAAGTCCTTCTTAGTGCAAATCGAATGCTATTGACCAAGTTGTAATGTGACCTTTAGTCTAAGTGACTCGACACTGTAGTCGCGGCCCGGATAAGTCAGTGGTAACGTCTCTGACTGTGAAGCTGAACAACACAGGATCGAATCCGTCAGGAAGCACCAGTTCCCTCAAGATTACAGGCACACCTCGCTGACGAGTGCCAAGTAGCACGAAACCCGGGTCCGGCATTGACTACCTCCAACTACCATCTTATCTAAACATAACGTTTATTCAAAGTTCAGCTGATTACAAAATACCTATCTCATATCCCATTCATTCATTAACCTACTAAATTAAACTATGATTATCATTCTTACTTAACTACTATGTCACTATGACAAATTATTATCTAATACGAAAATTCATTATTTTTTCTTTTAAATAGAGAAATGTTTTCTTCAACACACGAACAAACATCTCTCATCAAAGGGCTCAATCTTAAAACAGATTACTTTAAGTTAGGCTGTTGTTTATCATATTTCCATTTTGAAGTTATAAAACAGACACCAATATATCATCAAATCTACTGTTAGTGATTATGTGATATGGGCCAATAAAGCTAACCAGACTGAGTATACAATACAAAATAAGCTAGGATACAATGAATGATATGTCAACTATCTGTCAGATTATGATAGAATAGACAAAATTGAAAGAAGTTAAAGTCTACAGCATTATTAAGTGATACAGACTGTGTAATAACTGTGTTCATAATTGTTTATTATTTTATTTATTTAAAAACATAAATATTGGTACAAGGAGGCAACGAATAGATTACTTACTTACTTACGCCTGTTACTCCAATGGAGCACAGGCCGCCGACCAGCATTCTTCATCACACTCTGTCCTGGGCCTTCCTTTCCATTTCTATCCAATTGTTGTTTATTTTCCTCATGTATCTCTCCATTTCTCGACATAATGTGTTCTTTGGTCTTCCTCTTTTCCTTTGGCCTTGAGGACTCTATGTAAGGGCTTGCCTTGTGACGCAGTTGGGTATGAAGTTGGATATGCTCCACATCATCATTAGATTTATGTGAGGGCTAGGATACTGCTCGGGTGCCCAAACCGAAGCAGGTAGTTTCCTTAGGAGGCCACACACAGAGCCTTCGACCTAAAGGTCTGATACAAAAGACAGTGGAGCAACGTTAGGAGATGCACTTCCATGGTAAATGGTGACCAATATTTGGTTTATACATCATTTGTTCCTTCAGGATCGTGAAGTCCATGTGCACCATTGGTTTGCAATCAGGGTTTTCCAACTTCTCTGGTTGGGTCCTCCATACCCACCAACCTGGTTAATGCACTGGAATTTGCTTTACATCCTCTCAATTTCGTAAACAACGGTGATGACGCGAGAAGGCAGTGAGCAGGAATTCCCTGGCAGTGGTTGTATGTATGTGGCCATGTGAGAGCATTCAAAGAGGGAGAGCTGACTCTCTCCACTCTCTGCCGTACCTGAGCATTTGATGACGTGTTCATAGTACTAATCCATTATATTAGAGACGAAAACAATTGTCAGTCTTTTATTGCAACATCCTTATGAAAAATATAATTTGAATAAACAATAGATAGTTCAACGTTCCACTTTATTACATATAATCTTAAATTATAACAGCTTAACATAAGTGTGATTAGAAACAAATATCATCAAGTGATGCATGCAAAGAGCTGATTGCTTTATATAATTAATGCTTTCATGAGTTGAGATCATGAGTCAATTGAAGCTAAATCACCATGGAAAATCTGGAAGCACTGGATGGCCGTTTCGTCCTATTGTAGATGTTTCGCGCAATTTCTTGGGTTAATTCAAGTTAAACATTAACATCGTTGGATGCCAGTCGACTCAGTGATCTCGTGGTTAAGAGTTTGCATGAGAGACCGATAGGTCCAGTGTTCATATCTCGCGAGTGGGACTGTGGATTTGTACTGATGGGGAGTTCCACAACAGGAGGAAACGGCCTTCCAGTACCTCCAGGGTTTCTATGGTGGTCTAGCTTTAATTGGCTCATGATCTCAACTACTGAAATTACTATAATATCCACAAAACCCCTTCTGATACTAACTTATACTTTATCCGATATTCAAAAATGTACTATTCAATGTATTGGTCACTGGGCCTTGTTTCTAACTGTTCAGGTTAACAGTGAATTTGAGATATGAACCGATTTCACATGAAACGTGTCCAGTTAAGTTATTTTGTTTGTTAACTAAAATCAGGTAGTTCATATTTACAGTTTTAATGTGAGAAAACTCATGATTTGGAGAGCCAATCTCAGTAGCTAGAGATTTATGTTCTGTCAGAATGATCACTCGGTTATTTTACATACATCACCTCAAACTCCATTCTGAAAGTTTATATTTTTTAATTTCCAATGTAATTATGCAGCAATGTTGGCAAGCAACTCATTTGTTACTATCATTTAATCTATTAGTTGAATTCGTGAGTTAATTAAACCTTGAGGTATCATGGGTGCGTACTGCTGAAGAATCTCATACTAGAACGAAGCGGACATCTAGTGCTTCTGGGCTTTCTTTGGTGGTCTAGCTTTAATTGACTCATGAATTCAACTATTAAATTACTAAAATCTCCACAAAACCACGTTCTGATAATAATCATCATATGATCACTAGTGACTGGCTTCAAGAGGTATTTCCTAGAGTTATAATGAGAAACAGTAACCAATAAAGTTCAACCATTTCTGTTGTGAAATAGTAACTCACTGATGACAGTGGTGGATTTGTCGCTCAATTTCGTGGTTTAGTTGAAGTTAGACACTAAAACAACTGGATGCCAGCTCAGTGGTCAATTGGTTAAGTGCTCGCCCGCGAGACCAGTAGATCCCTAACTCGAATCACGCGAGGCGGGATCGTAAATGAGCACTGTTCAGGAGTCTGAAAATAGAACAAAATGGCCGTCTATTGCTTCCAGGTTTTCCATGGTGATCTAGCTTTAATTGACTCATGATATCAACCATTAAAAATATTACTATAATATGCACATAATCTCTTCTGATATTGAAAATAATAGGTAGAGGTAGAATGGATTGGATTGTGCTAACCTAATATAGCAATTTAAATTGTCCCAATCTGTTGCGTAATTAAAAAGCCATTTGATAATTTCAATGCACACACTATGACGTACTGCATAGCACAGCAAGCTAATTTCAAACTAAAGTAGTTATTTACACGAGAAACAGTTCATAGAAAGAAATTTTAGGTTATTCACTACCATGTTACTTCATACTGATAATTAGGTTATATGGAAAATAGAGAAATTAGATAAAGTGAACAAAAACTTGTTTAGATATAGATTTACCATGTTAATTATAGGTAAAATGGTTCACTTTACTATCGATACTGTTCAGGTATATCCCTTAGTTAATATCTTAAAGTAACATGTAATATTTTAGTAATCGGAATACACCCATTAATACTGCTCATATCGGTCAATGTGTCGTTGTTGTGACACAGCAATGTATAACTCGTGTTCTGATTAGTGAATAATTCATGTGATATTCAGCAGGCAACAAGACATAACAGTAATTATTTTACTACCAGTATAGGGGTTTTGGAGATTATTAAGTTTTTGATTGAGATCATGAACCGAT